AAAGAGGAGGCTCTGCTTCCATCTCAATGGAACATAAGCTAGCTGATGATATGATCTGAACACTGTATAAACCGGCAAACATGGCGAGCTTAGAGTGATATTTAAATGTGCATCTTTTATGGCAAAGTAGAGAGCTAAAATTGCGAGCAAAATGCAACTTTTAGGTGATGGTGCATTCAATGATATTGTGACGCAATCTCTAGCACTCATCCAGAAACATCATTTGCATCGCGTTTTCTGTTCTGCCTCTAGTGTCATAAGGTGCTGATTTCCTAATAAGTATATTAGGCTGCAACAGGCTAGTAGGAGTGCATAATTTTATCCTGATCTTCTTATACGCAGGTTAGCTGACTTGTATAAAGGATAGAAAGATTTAGCTGGTGAAAAAATGGAATTTTACTGGTGCCTGATAAAAAGAAAACCATTCTCAAACAGAGTGAATTCTGATTGTCTTCACAGGCATTAATCTATTATTGCAAAGCACTTCAGTGGTTGCTTGCCTTTTCAATCTTTCTTTGATTTGGCAATACCTGCTGCAAAGTCGGGACCTTTCCAAGCATGTAAATAGGCAAAAACGGCATGAAGATACAACATGTGCGCGGGTACCCACAGTACGCCGAGTGCAATGGCAATGCTGACAGTAAAGACTTCAAGTCTGAGGTCCGTATTGCATTGTTGTGGACAAACTGGCGGTAGCAGTCACCGACTGGGCAACTTGCAAGCAATTTATTGCATTCTTCTTAGCTCAATTTAACACTACCAAACCAGCTGAATCTACTCATGCCAAGACCATCTTCCAACACATGCAATGTTAGTCAGCGCAATCGGTTTCAAGCACAATAACAACCAAATCATCGCCGACACAACTTGAAAGATTCGTACTTTCTAAGCAAATTTTGCAGTGGTAAATGCTCCAATTCACCTTCTGCAAGCGGAATCGATGGAATGCTCCCTTTGGTCAAGACGAGATATCGTCGATGTGACAGGTGATTGCGCATGACAGAAGAAAATTGACAAGAAGTGGTCGAAGGACGT